TTGACCTGAAGGCCCTGGGGAAGGGGTCGATGTAATGTTTGCGCTGATGGTGCGGGAGAGTTCGCGCTGGCCCGTCGGGAAATCGACGTTGCGCGCGATGTTGGCAACGATCAACTAGTGTTTCTAAGGTTTCAAACGGTAGCGCACGCAGGTGAAGACGCGTCTCGCTGGCGTCAGCATGCCCCCGCCGCCGTCGTTGGACGCGCGCCGCGAGAGGCGAGGGTTTCTGTCGCAATGCGGCGCAAGCTAGGGGCAGGATGTCGAGCTGGCAGGCGCGTCTCGGAGCGTCGTTCGGCTTTCCATTTTTGCCATTCGGTTTCTGCATTCGCTGCGCGCCCCGCCTTGAATCTAGATGTCGAGTTGCCGAGATTGGCGCCGCCGCGAGGCGTGTTCACTAGGTGCGCGCACAGGGCGGAGGGGGGCGTCGGGCTTGAGTTGTTTTGCTCTCCTTGGGTCTTTCTTTTGAAGGCCGTACCATGGCGACCAGTAGGCGGGCCGACGGTGCCTGACCTGCCATTGAGAAGTCTGAGCAGGTGTGCAGCTACATTCTTTGTGATAATGCTGAGTCTCACGCGCCGAATTCCCCGTTGCAGGCGGCGCGCGGCAGGCTTATGACCTCGGCGACCTCGGGCCGTGCGCCGACGGGCGAAGCGGTCGACCCCGCGGTTGCGGATGCTCCAACCATCCGCGAATGCATTGTTTGATCGCCCCGCTCCACCGCCGCCCCCCGCCGCCGAGGGTGGCGGCGATGCCGCGGCTGGCTCCGATCCTGGCGCCATCTCTGATGGCGAGTGTCCGCGGGGCTCAATTCGACCGAAAAGCGAGTGGAGATAGATGGCCCCGCTCCTCAGGGGGACAACTGCTCAGATGGCCGTGGTTAGTTGGGCCTTCGCCATGTAGGATGCCGATTGGATCGTCAGTCGAGTTTTTCCATGGCTATGCCTCGTGAGATTTCCCCTAGGCCCAGTCAATTGCTGGCGCGCGCCACGTTGAATCTCGACACGACTGAACGCGATGAAGATAATCGTAATTTTGTGGGCCGATCAGAACCATAGTTGGCCGATAAGTTTAAATTGGAGGGTCGAAGACAAACTTGTAGTTTACGCGTCGTTCCCTATTGTAGCCCGAACGCCCGTTCCTGTTGCCCGTCTCGGGGTCAACGGCCCGCACTCTGGAGCTCAATATATATATATATATATATGGAAAGTTCCAGGCCCCGCGGATCCAGGAATCCACCTTGGTAGACGGTTTAACATGAGTGTGGTTGAAAAGCGCCGCGCTGTTGAATTGTGCAGGGCGGAGAAAAGGGGGTTCTTTGGGATGGTGATCCCGGGCCTCGTTTAGCGCCGCTTCGGGACGTTGGCGCGGGGGCCCAGCCGATAAGCGGAAACCCGCCGGGGCAGGGGAACAGGGCGCCGATGCGGATTCTGTGCCAAGATTGGATGATGCACATGTTTGGTGGGGGCAGATTTGGCATGGGGGAGCGATGTTTAGCGGTGAGGACGTTGCAGGTTCAAGCTGTTATGTCTCCCTCCCCGCGGTGCCGACTTAGACGGGGCGTGCGTGGTCGAGGGCCACGCGGCCGCCGCTTCGCGGCGCAGCGCGCCCAGAATGCCTCTGCAATTTGCAGGAGACTTTGTCCGGTGATTTTCAGTTCTGTTCCAACCCACTTTCGGAAATTATACTCGTCAGTGATGGTCCTTCTGATTTTCCCGATGCTCCTTCAGAGCGGGAGCTTGACGCTGCCGCGGCGCGCTCCGTCTCCATATCTGAGGCCGCGGCCAAGTCAAAAGCGCAGGAGGCGTTCAGAGCCGAGCGGGGCTGCCTCCGAGCGATCGGCGCGTGGGATGAGAACGGACTCGTGGAATCGAATGGCGCGGTTGATCAACGTGGCGGCATCGCGGCATGCGTTGTTTTTTGTTGAACAGAATTCCGAGCTCCCAGAGGGGCGCAACGGTTGCAAGTACAAATGGCGCATTGTTTTCGATGGGTCAGATGTTCGGGGCCAAAACAACGACGTTGCCCTTTTTTTCAAGAACTTCCCAGTAGACCAGAAACAATGCTGGCCAGTAGAGCGGCCGATGCACACGGTTTGCTTGCCATGCCATGCAGCAGGCTGGTGCTAAGCAGGCCCACGCGCAAGTCAAACTTGGAGGCGCTCCCACTCTGATTTTTCTTGTGCGCGGGGAGCGGCCTGCGTCTTGGCGCCGGATGCGGAATCCCGTTTGCCCTTTTTTTTGTCTTTACGGTCGCCCAGAGACTACTTGCAACAGCCTTGCGAGGGCCGCGTTCTATCGGATGGATGTATTATGTGTAGTCCTTGGCGCAATTTTTAATATTTCCCGAAGCGAGGTTGTCCTGATTATATCGGAGGTTGGGGGGTGAGTTCGACGTGAAAGGAGACCCCCTCTACTGGAAAATCGATGTCGGTTTCGGTTTCGTGTCTTGCGTGCCGTGCGTGCGTGCGGGCGAGGCGAAGTTGCGTGGGCGGGCGAGAGGAAATCCTCCTGTGGTTGGGCCGCGGCCGGACCAAATGTAACTCCTCCGGCGGCCGGTGCCCCGCGGTGTCCCGCCGGTGTCCCGCCGGTGTCCCGAAATCTTTATGTGGCTGGGCCGCGGCCGGACCAGATGTAACTCCTCCTGCGGCTGGTGCCCCGCGGTGTCCCGCCGGGTCCCGCTGATGTCCCGAAATCCTCCTGTGGCTGGGCCGCGGCCAGACCCAATGTTTCTCCCCCGGCGGCCGGTGCCGCGCGGTGTCCCGCCTGTGTCCCGTTGGTGTCCCGCCGGTGTCCCGTGGTGTCCCGTGGTGTCCCTTTGAGCGAAGTCGATAGTGGTAGTTATCGATAGTGAAATCGATGTGGTGTCCCGAGGTGTCCCGTGGTGTCCCGTGGTGTCGTATGGTGTCCCGTTGAGTGATATCGATCGTGAAATCGATAGAGAGACCGATCGTGAGATCGAGAGATATCCCGCGGTGTCCCGTGGTGCCCCGTGGTGGCCCGTGGTGGCCCGTGGTGTCCCGTTGAGTGAGATCGATAGTAAGATCGATAGTGATATCGACAAATATCCCGTGGTGTCCCGTGGTGCCCCGTGGTGGCCCGTGGTGGCCCGTGGTGTCCCGTTGAGTGAGATCGATAGTAAGATCGATCGTGATATCGACAAATATCCCGTGGTGTCCCGTGGTGTCCCGTTGAGGGAGATCGATAGTAAGTTCGATCGAGTCAGGTGTTGGTTCCCCCCCTTTCTTCCCTCCCCACAACCTCCTTATCACCCGACGGGTGGTCGTATAGGCATGTTGATGACTCTTCGAGGGCTGATCTTCTGGCCGGGGTCCGACTGCACCTCCCTCGTGCCTTCCTCCTCCCTGTTAGGCTTCCTCACCACCGCGCAGCGGCACCTCTCAAGTCCCTCGCTCCCGCGGGGCGGAGAGGGCCCACCCACCACAGGAGCGTCTTCCACCATCTGCGTCCCTCCTCTCCTGTCGCCGTCCTCGCACCTGCTCCGTCGCGCGCGATTTCTCGCCCTCGGAGCCCCTCGGCCGCCCCCCCCAAAAAGACCGCCCAGGCACGGAGGGAAACTCGGGGATGCCCCCCGTGCGGGGGCTGGTCGGGCGCGCCCCCTGCCGAGGGTGGACGCCCCCCTTATCTCATGCACATCCCCGAGTCGGGACCTCAAGCGTCTTGCCAGGTTTGAAAGTGAGAACGCGCCACCACCACCACCACCATCACTTGCCTCGGGCGAAGGGAACTATGCACATGCACCGATCCTGACAACGTCCATCCTTGACCCAGGATCGGTGCACATGCCTTCCTGGCCTAGGTAGGAGGGCATACGCACCGATCCTGGGCTCAGGATGGGTCTGGCCAGAATCGGTGTATGTGCATAGTTATTTTTCCTCTACACTTGCCCCCCCCCCCTCCAAAAATGTCACTTTTTTACCATCCGCAGGGGGGCCCAGCGGCGGGAACGGGTGACAACAATGCGCAGAGAAGCCGGAAACGAGGAAGGAGGAGGAGGAGGAGGAGGAGGAGGAGGAGGAGGAGGAGGCGGGGAAACAAGAAAGCACAGCAGCGCGCCCCGGCGAGCGCGAGGGGCCAGCGGCAGCCCAAAGCGGCCACGGACCACGTGTCTGACAGCAGGTTCAGAGCCAGTCCAGATCAGTCCTGCCCAGTCCTGCCCCAGCGCACCTCCCCCCCAGGATCTCCGGGCCCCAGCCAGGGGGGCCAGCAGTCCAAGGGCGGGGGGTGCCTAGGCGGTGGTGGTGCACACTTTTTTTGCTGTGGCGCTTCTACGAAGCATCCTCGCAGTCGGTGTCCGAGACTCTGGGCGCACCCCTCGAGACTTTTTTGTGTGAAACGTTTTTGGGTTTCCGAGACTTTTTTGTGTGAAACATCCTCGCAATCGGTTTCCGAGACTCTGGGCGCACCCCAGAGAGGTCGAGGGCCGATTCCCTGGGGCCCGAGGCGCAGCGACACACCGAGTTCGCATTAGAAGGGCGACGGTGAGGCGCAGCGTGAAGGCCAGCAGGATGCAGCGGTACTTGTGGATTCCTCGGGGGGGGAGGCCATGGGGTGGTGTTTTTTCTTCTTCTCGCAGAACAGCACGAAACGTCTGGCATAGGGGTCGCCAAGTCCATCGCTACCACTGTCCAGCAGAGCTGGCCTCCCCCCTCTACCTTCGGCGGTGCGCCGACCAGCCAGATCGTTAACTCTTTCGTATTCCTTCCTTCTTTCATTCGTCCTTGCTTATCCTCCCTCCTCTTTCCATCTTCCTCTCCCCCCTCCCTGTTTCTTTCCACCCTTCTCTTCCATCCGTCCTCCTTCCCTCCCTCCCTCCCTCATATTCCCTCGTCCTGCTCCTCGTCCTCCCCCCTCCCTGGGACGGGGGGGAGGATGAGGAGGCCGATCAGTGGAGGATGTTGAGGAGGACTAGTTCGCGGAAGACGAGGATAATGAATGACGACGAGGAGGACACAGTTGAGGACGCCGAGCAACCCTCCTCAGGACGCCGCGGCGGATAAGCGCCCTGGCCTGACCAAGCAGGTGGGCTTCGACCCGACTGGCTACTCGCTCAACGTGGTGCCCACCATGGGAGGCGGGGCGGCGGGATGGGCCCAGTTCTCTTCCAGAGTTGATTTCGAACCCATCGATTTGTTGCGATCGGGATTCTGACTGGTTCGATATTGTGCGACCCGCTGCTCGCGTGGCGCTGTTGTGCATGCGGGCGCGGCCGGTCCGAGAGGATGCCGACTCCGTGCCGAGGGGGGCGAATCCGGCGCTTGTTCTGGTTCGATACGATTTTCCGGCTCGATGTTGTCTGCTCTTGTCTTCAGGGGCGCCGACGGGGGGATTGGCAGATTGGCTCATGGAGGAAGCGTTGACCTCTAACAAACAATCACTCCTCACCGATCGGGGCATGGTTGCCCCAACCTTCCCAGGAACGTGGGATTTTCCTACCGAGGGCCATCGCGGATCTATCGGCGCAGCATCGTCGAGTCATCCCCCCCCATGAGCCAGTCTCCCCATTTCGGTTCCCCTCACCTCCATGTCCAGGTCGTGGCCAGACGTCGGATTCGAGGTTTGATGCTCGAGTTTGTTTGACATTATTTGGGGGCTTTCGTTTTGTATCCCGGAGGCCGCTTGCCGCCACAGCTGGGACTCTATTCGACATGCTGCAGTAAGAAGCATACCACAGGACAAGCCCAGAGCTTTGTTTTAAGAGAGGTGTATAAGGCCGCTGCTGTTTCGAACGAGACTGCGCCGAAGGTTTTGCGGAATTCTTGTTCTCCAGGTGTCGCTTCCGCGCTCCGTGGACCGGCTCGAGGATGAGAGTTCGGTCTTGAGGAAGGGGTGGAGAGGTTTGGTGGCTTACTCCAGATTTCGTAATAAAGGGAGGGGTGTCTTTTTCGGGGGGAGGTCTCTTCCAGGCTATCTTGGAGGGCCTGGGGGGTCTGGGGACGATGTTTTGGAGGGTTCTCCCACCGGGGAGGTCTGAAATGGCTAGTCTTGGAGGGTCCAGACCCCCTCCCTTTTGTTACGAAATCTGGAGTACGCGGTGAACGCAGTGGGGTCACGTCGAAGGTCCTTGGGAGGGGAGGGAGGGGCTGAGAACAGAGGCGGGGAGGGGCCGGAAGTCCAAGCGTGGAGGGAACGCGGGGGAAGGGGGCGTGGGCGCAGGAGGGGGACGGGCGGCAGGATGGAGCGAGGGAGTGCAGGCGGTGAGTCGAGGGGAGGCCTGGGACTAGGTCGGGCATGTCCTCCTACATGCGGATCTTGAAAGAAAAAATCGAATCTCAAAACATCTTCAAACATTGTCCTAAGAGCACGAAAAATCGTCCCCAGACTATTGTTTTACTATTCTTGAATACTCCTCCTGTACAGGGACACGCCCAACGTAAGCCTGGGAGCGAGGGAGGCGAAGGAATGCTCTGCCCCACCACCGGAGGCAAGATGCTGATGTCCCTATCCGACGGCGGAATGCAATACCTCGTCGGCGGCGCCCGCGCCAACGTGGGGCTGAAGGTCGGGAGCGGCCATTCTATGCAGAGGGAGAGAGGGGGAGTGAGGACGGCGAAGTGGGGAGGATGGGAGGCGGGAGAGACAAGGAGTGGGCTGCGGAGGAGGGCGAGTTGAGACTGCGCAGGGGCAGTTGGCCCTCGGGGCGAGTTGAGACTGCGCAGCGCGCGGGGTCGTATGTGCCGACGCTGGCGCGTAAGCTGCCCGCGTACGGTCGCGCGAGGCGTTGTCGTCTCCAAGGTAGCGTGCCGCGCTGGCGGCCCGCGTAAGCCACCGCCCAAGGTCGCTCTGCCATCTCGCGCAGGACCCGTTTCTGATCGTCGCCCAAGTAGTCCCTAGTCTCAGCATCTTGATTGCACGACACCGCCATGACATCAGCCGATGTGTGTTTTCCGATCCGCGGCCCCAGAGGTTCCGGCCCCTTCCCTCGGCATCGCTCAGACGTGTGCTCTTCTTGTCGGCGAGGACCCTCGAGGAGCATCCTGGATCGTCAGGCGAAAAAAAAGCGCGCACGGAACCGCACAATGCACGGGAAACTGACGTCCGAGCGATGGCAAGCTCTTCGGTTGTCAGTTTTCGTCATGGATCCATTGTTGGTGGTCTCCGACGGCAGGCCCCAGGCGCCGACACCGAGGAAGAGCCACAGGATCGAACAGACCATGTCGCCAGAGATTCGGGCAAGCGCGGGCTCCAGAGTTGATGATCCTCCGGACGTGTGTGCGCAGATAGCACGCAACCTGTGGCTGACCTCATTCCACCGCGCGCGTCGTCTCGAAGGGCTTCGGTGGAGAAACACATGCTGACGCTACCGCACGTTCTGGGGATCATCGACAGAGGTCCCTTCCCTTCCTCCATGCCAGTTTCTGTCCGAACCCCTGGTGTCTCCTCGGCGGTGTGTCATTGATCGTTTATTAAGGGCTTAACGTTTTCTACCGTCCCTCGACTCGCGCTGGAGCGGCCACGATTTGCTCCAAATTGTTTTGGACATCTCTGGATTAACCTTGATGTTTCTGGATTTACTTTGATTTGTCTGCATGTGCCTTGATTTATCCAGCTTGACCCCCACAAGCCGATTGTCGAACAATCGTCGAGCCTTGATGGAATCGGTACCGCTTCCATCTTCCCCTTCCTCGCCCCCGCACCTCACTGCCTCCACCCTCAACCCTTCCTCGGCCCCCTCCCTCCTCGATCCCCCCCCTCCCCCCTCCCTCGTCTTCCCCTCGCCCCTCCCATCCTCCCTCCCCTCTGCCATCTACGCTCCAATGCGCCTCTGAGGCTCCCTCTCCGCCCCCCCTCTCGCCCTCCCATCGGTCTTGTGCACAGCCCTCCTCCTCCTCCTCCTCATCCTCCTCCTCCTCCTCCTCCTCCTCCTCCTCCTCCTCCTCCTCCTCCCTCCCCATCCCTCCCCAGAGGCGGATTGGGCTCGCGAGTGTGAGTTACCCCACGCTCGCGACGGCGACTGGGCCCAGCGGAAGAGGCAGAACACACGCCTCTTTCGTTTGTTCGTCCCTCCCCCTGTCTCTGCCCAAGACAAGAGCAACATAAGCGAAGAAGCAGCACGGGTCTTCGTGGCGGGCTCCCCGCGGAGGCCGGCCGGTACATGTTCGAGGTGAAGGTGTTCGAGCTGCTGAGCCCCGACGAGGGCAAGAGCAAGCACAGGACCCAGCAGCCCAAGCAGTTCCTGCGCGTGGGCTTCTCCACGGCGCCCGAGGGGCAGACAGGGCCGCCCAGACAGGGCCGCCTGCGACCGGGCTCGATGCGGTTCGATTCGCTGGCTGCCGCCGCTGTTCCCGCCCAGTTCTTTGCCGGCACCAGCCGGGGCCAGCCGGCGCCAGGCGTGGCGGCCCGATCTCGGCCCGTCGCGGGCGCCGACTCGCTGGCGATCCGACCCGTTTCCGATCCCGTCTGGCTTCGCGGTTCGATCCGGCCCAGGCTTGCCAGCCTCAAGAATCGGCGTGCTTCTGTGGCCAACCTGCATTGGGAACTGTATCATGTCGGAAAAACCTAAGACTCGGGTAAGCCGGAGCTCGGGTTTGCCGACGTTTTCTTGACGAGCGCGTCCTGGATTTTGACGGTCCAGTTTTCGTGGGATGTCTGCAGCGGGAGCCCGCGTCAAATTTCAGATTGGGCCTCGTCATGTTTCTGATGGCCCCGTCAGGCCAACCCGCGTCCCCCGTACCCGAGTCTTACGTCTCCCCGATTCTAGGATAGCGGCACTCAGCAGCACTTAGCGGCGCGCGCGTCTGTGGTTCCGCTGGGGTCGGCGGTCTCACTCGCGCGCCAGGCCGCCAGTGGCCGCCAGTGGACGCTAGTCCAGATTTCGTAATACAGGGAGGGGGGTCTCATTTCGGGGGGGGTCTCGTCTAGGCTATCTTGGAGGGCCTGGGGGGTCTGGGGACGATGTTTTGGAGGGTTCTCCCACGGGGGAGGTCTGAAATGGCCTGTCTTGGAGGGTCCGGACCCCCTCCCTTTTCTGACGAAATCTGGAGTAGTTGCCGTTGAGAATTTGACGACCTTGCCGGGGCCCACCTGACTGATCTGTTCGACTCTGGTTCGGCCCCTTTCCGACTCGAGTTCGACTCGCGTTCGACCCAGATTCGACTCGGGTTCGACTCAGGGCCGACTCCAGTCGGCGGACGCTCGACGCAGCTTCGGCGCAAGAGTGGAGCGAGTGTCTCCAGGACGGCCCCCAGAGCGATCCAAACTCGTTGGCCCCCCCCCGTTCCCCGTTCTCGGCAGCCCCGGGGGAGGGGGGCTCGGCATCGCTCGGGCGTGCGCCTTTTTCCTCGGCGAGAGCCATCGAGGACCATCCTGGACCCTCGAGCAAAAAACAAACACGCACACGCACGAAAGCGAACAATGCACGGGCAAGGGGCGTCCGAGCGACGGCGCGGGGGGGGGGGGGGGGGGGGGGGGGGGCAGGCGGCCCGCTCCCCTTCGCCCCGCGGGGCGCCCCTTCGAGCGGGCGCGGCGGCCTCGTGGTGGGGCGCGGTCGCCCCCTCGGTGCGAAGTCGGGCCTGTCCCTCTCCAGGAGGAAAACTCAAGAGCAGTCAAAGCACAGTCGGGTGATTGTTATGTTTCGAGTATTTGGGGGCATTGTTTTGTTATTTTTTTGGACTTCTTTCATTTGTCCAAAATCCCCCTATAGGGGGACATGCCATGCCCGACCTAACCCTAGGGGAAGGGGCCCAGGTACCCCCCAGGGGGCTCGTTCCGATTCCTCCGGTTCGGTTCGAGTCGAGTTCCATGGTTGCCCATTTTCGAAGGAGGCAAAACGCTATGAGCATAAGCTTGTGGCGGCGCTGGGGGCCCTCCTGGCGGCGCTTCTGGCGCCGCCCCTGGCGCGCTCCGCGCGCCAGCAAGGGGCGCACAGCGTAGATCCAAGAAGTCCGCGCGGAGCGCCAAGAGTTTATGTTTATGGCGTTTCTTGCTCCTCTAGGTTCAGATTCGATTTGTCTGCGGATTCCGATGTGGACTGCGATTTCTCAGCGGGGTCTTCCTAGCCTGCCGATCTCCGCCGATGCGACTCCTCCCGGCTCGGCTGCCGATTTCCGCCGATCCGATTCGTTGCGATCGCCGATCCGACGTTTCGATTCGATTCTGGGCTCTCCTGCCCCCTGTGTCAAGGGAGGAAAAGCACCCCGACCTCGACAATGGGCGTTTATTGAGCTGCCCTGGGCGTCTTCGACACAGCCCTGTCCCGTTCGACTCCTTCCTTGTCTGAAACGGCTTCGCTTGTCGGGGCGCTTCTTCTGAGGGTGGATTTTCTGCTCTCTACCAGGGGCCCACGGCACGAAGAAAATCTGGCGTTGCGTACTGGGCGGAGCTACAGTCGGGGCGCTGAAGGAGGAACCCTTGTCGTTGGGGAGGGGCTCCGTGTTCCTTGATTGTTTCACAGCTCGCCCTAGGTTTTCCTTGGGTCTTCGATGGGACATCGAACTTTGACTGATGGGAATAAGGGGGCCTCGTTCCTTACTGTCGGGGCGCCGAAGAAGGCACCCTTTTCGTTGGGGAGGGGCTCGAGGTTCCTTAATCGTTCCACACCTTGCCTAGGGTTCCCCTTCTGTTTTCGATGGGCAGTCACAGTTTAGCTTACGAAAAAGGGGCCCCGTTCCTCATTTGGGGTTCCTTGGGTCAGCGCCTCGACTGTATTTGGGGTTCCTTGGGTCAACGTCCCCACGGTACACCTTGGGCGATGCTTAAGAAAACTCTAGTTTTCGGCCAGAGCCTTGATTTTTCTTAACGTTTCAATGTGAATCCTAAGATTTTAATGGACATGTTGGGTTTTTTCTCCAAGTTCTGAGACTATGAATTTCTTAACCCATGATTTCTAAAGCATTTCGCAGGGTGTATAAAGGGTGGGGGAGAAGTTTGAGTTGTTCTGTGTCCTACAGGACGCCTGAACGGCGAACCCGCAATCGGGGGCGCAAAAGGGGGCACGACAGGTGCGCGCTCCTGCGCCCCCCCGCTCACCGCCCCCCCCTGATTGGGCCACGCCCACGACATTTGCGATGGAGCAGGAAGAAGAGGAGCAGGAGGAGGAGGAGCAGGAAGAGGAGGAGCAGGAGGAGGAGCAGGAGGAGGAGGAGGAGCAGGAGGAGGGGAAGGAGGAGGAGGAGGAGGAGGAGGAGGAGGAGGGAGGAGGAGGAGGAGGAGGAGGAGGAGAGAGGAGAAGGTAGTCAGAGGAGCAAAGGGTACCGATACCGCTACCCTGCCCTCGTCGCCACGGCTGGATTCGCTTCGAAATCTTGGTCAGATTGCGCCCTGGGAGAGGTCTGGGGAGTAGCAGTATCGGTACCTCTTTCTCCTCCCAGGAGGGAGGGAGGGAGGGAGGGAGGGAGGGGGGGAGGGAGGGGAGGGAGGGGGGGAGGGCAAGCTAGGTTCGCTCGCGTTATATCTGACGTCCTACCCTTCTCTCACATCTCTTACCATGGCTTAGATCTCCTTTCTATTCGCATAGTCGGATGTCGTAGCAAGGCATAGCATCACATGGCATAACATGGAGTTGATGATCAACGCGTCGCCTGACGTCCCAGAAAATTAACGAATCGGCACCGAATGTATAATCACTTCCGATGGTTGTTTCGGGGGGCATTTTCTAGTTTAGGAGTCCTATTTGGAAGGACCGAAAACCATGCCGTGGCATGGCGTTGGAAATAATGACGCCAGTGCTGCAGCGGGAGCACGATTCGGAATGAGCGGAAGTGCGGATATAAGGCCAGCGCTGCAGCGGCAGCACGATTCGGAATGAGCGGAAGCGCGGAAATGAAGCCAGCGCTGCAGCGGGAACACAATTCGGAACGAGCGGAAGCTCGAAAATGAGGCCAGCACCTGAGCGAGAGCAACATTTGAACACCAAGCACAAGCAAAAACCCAACTCGCCGACATCCTGTGTGGAGAACACAATACGCGAGGGAGGGCCGAACCTTCCGAGACAGATTCCGCAACAGACTCAGGGGAGAGAGGAGAGTAGTATTAATATTGAGTAATTTTGGAGGGAGGGAGGAGGAGGAGGAGAAGGAGGAGAAGGATGAGGAGGAGGAGGAGGAGGAGGAGGAGGAGGAGGAGGAGGAGGGGGGGAGGGGGGAGGGGTAGGGGGAGGGGGAGGGGGAGGGGGAGCGAGAGAGGGCGGGCGGGAACGGGAGAGGGACGGCGAGGTGGCAGAGGGAGGGCGAGGGGGCGAGGAGAGGACGAGGGAGCAGCAACGTGCGCAAGAGGCAGGTCTCCGGCCTGTGCCCTCACCAGGCTCTGCCCTCCTGCGAGCTTCCAGCCGGGGCCATCGCGAGCGCCACAGACGAGAAACCGAAGAACCGATGCGTGGAGTGCCAGGGGAGGGGGGGGGAGCGAGGGAGGAGAGGGAGGGCGATAGGGGGAGGGGAGGGGCGAGGGGAGGGAGGAGAGGGAGGGCGACGGGGGAGGTGGAGGGGCGAGGGGGAGGGGGGGGGGAGGGGGAGCGCGGGGGGGGAAGTCGGGGGGTGGGGCGGGGCAGTGGGGGGGCAGGCAGACTCGCCGCTCCTCCTCGGCGACGCCGATGGGTGCGTGGCTTTCGACGCGGACGGCACCTTCTGGGCAGGCACCAGCTTGGCGCGGGGTGAGGAGGCGGAGGAGGCGGAGGAGGAGGAGGAGGAGGAGGAGGAGGAGGAGGAGGAGGAGGAGGAGGAGGAGGAGGAGGATGGGGAGGATGAGGAAGACGAGGAGGGATAGTCAGAGGATGAGAGGGTGCCGATGCCGCTACTTTTGCCTCGTTTTCGCTTCTGTTGGGCACCCTGGAAGGCCCTCGCCGCCGCGCCTGGGTTCGCCTCGACATATTCTGGTCAGAACGCAGGTCCGCGGAGCAGCGGTATTTGTGGTTTGTGGTTTCCCCAGGCAAGCAGGCGGAGGAGGGAGGAGGGAGATAATGGAGAAGGAGAAGGGGTGCAGGCGTCCCACGGCGTCCGCGAGCGAGCGGGACGGGACCTGGACGACGAGGATCGAGGGGAGCTGTATCGGCGAGATGGAGGTGATGCGGTTGTTTGTGATTTCGCAGCCGCGACGCTGCTGCATCCTGGCGCCTCCCAGAGTTGCACTCGCTTGGCCTTAAGTCGGGCATGCCCCTCTACAGGGGGAATATTCAAAATAGTAAAACATAGTATGGGGACGATGTTTTTCTATGTTTGACGATTCTGGAATATTGTTTGTCTATGTTTAATGATTCCTCGAACATCTGCCTGTAGGAGGACATGCCCGACCTAAGCCTGGCCCGGGTGTGGGTAGTGCGACACGCATTCCCCCCAGTCCATTTGTCGCACCCGTTCACAGTCAGGCCTGATTCGTGATCCGACCTTGCGACGTCAAGGGTGCCCTTTTGCTTCCTGTCCGGCGCGTCGCGTGCTCTCCCTGCGTCTGTGTTTCGCAGGCGTTTCCCTCGGAAGACTTTTGTGTCCGTTTAGGGCCCCACCTCCTCCTCCTCCTCCTCCTGCTCCTCCTCCTGCTCCTCCTCCTGCTCCTCCTCCTCCTCCTCCTCCTCCTCCGCCTCGGCCTCCACCTCCTCCACCTCCTCCTCCGCCTCCTTCTTCCATCAGAGCCGACGGTCCTCCTTTCAGCCGGGCAGGCAGGCAGGGAGCATGTCCGAGGCCCTGGGCGTGTGCCGACCACACAATTGCGCTGCTCCGCCACAGTTTCGGGTGTGCAGCTCCCGCCTCCGCGTCAACACCGTATAGCCTGATTCGATCTCGATGACAGGGGGGCGTGGTCGATTGCTTTCGGGGGCGGGAAAGGAGGGGGGTGACGACTAGGGGGGGGTAGATATCATGGCGGGGGCCATGATATCTGCCCAGATCTCAAGGCGCCTCTTCTTATTTCATTACGTCCCTGGCTCCCCCCCTGGGCCGCGCACATGCCGCCGGCCATGAGTTGCGCCCCCCCCCTCTTGGACAACCCCCCTCTTGGCCGCTCCCGATGCTTACACCATTGCTTGATTACTTGAAGCCCAGATGCTGACGCATCGTCTGACCTTCACGAACGCTGCACTGCGATCCGCTTCCTGTGGACGTTTGGGAACGAGGGAGCGCTCCCCGATGTGATTGCAGTTTTCTTGCTGCGCACTCGCGGAATTAACGTGGAACGAGGCTCCATGGGTCTCTTCGGCCACGCGCAGAGGGGGGCAGGGGGAGGAGGGAAAGCCTCTTAGAAGAACCCCTGGCTCTCAGAAGGAGCGGCCCGTGTCTGTACATGTGAGACCGGCGCCTGCTAAGAAGCAGCCTCCATCTGAGAAGCCTTCCCCGCTCCCCCTGCCCCCTAGGAACCTCCCCCCCTCATCCTGCCCCCCCTCTGCGCGCCGCCAATCTCTGTCGCACGCGGCAAACCTGTGGTGCAGCTCCGAGGCAAGAAGAGGCCGTGGCGGCCTCGCGGCGGCTGCCCTGCAGCGCACAGTAACATATGAGCTGGAGGGAGAGGCGACGGAGCGGGGGGGAGAGACCGCAGGCTTAAGTCGGTCGGGGGCCCCCAAACGGGGTGGCGACCACACCGTGCGGTGAGTCGGCGGAGATTCGGGGCCACCGCATGGTTTTGGGACTCGGATCGTTCTCTGGTCCCAAAACCGTGCGTTGACGGACCGTGCGGTGAGGTCTTAGGGGGGATTTCGAGGTCGCCGCACGGTCTGTCACAGCACCGTTTCGGGACTTCAAAGTCGGGCGTGCCCCTCTACAGGAGGAAGACTCAGCAGTAGTCAAAAATAGCCTGGGCACGATGTTTCGACCAGTTTGGATTATTGTTTGAGGGTTTTTTGAGTTTATTTCAAACTTCTTCCTCCAAAATCCGCCTGTAGGGGGACACGCACAACCTATCAGTAGGCAGAGGAGATGGGCGAAGCCTGGGAGGAAGGTAAAGACGAGTGCGAACAGCACCAGCAGCAGCTGGCGCACAGCAGAGTCGTGCAGACGAGCAGTAGCAGGAGTGAGAACGAGGAGGAGAGTGAGGAGGACGGCACCAATATATGAGGAGGGGGAATCAAGCGATGAGATGTTGGTAAGGTTCGGCCGTCTCCTTTGCGGCGGGGTGAACTCTTTCCTGATGCTCACCTCCGCCGAAGGCACCACCAAAACGACCAAGCCGTTGGGCAAGTTCGGCCGTGACATGGCCGCGGGCTTCGCAACGCGTGCGGAGAAGGGGACAGGGGTTTGGAGGACTATATTCTTCCATGCCGGTTGTTCACTCCTTCTGCTTCCCCTCCCCTCGTCAATAACGAATGGAGGGCAAGGAGGGACGGTAGCCTGCGATGAGGGACGAGGCAGAATCTGGAGGCAGATAGGAAGAGGATTGAAAAGGGAGGATTGGTGACCCTGCTGCGTAGTCGCGGTAGCCGTAGTCGCATGTATAGCTATAGCAGAAGTAGTTTGATGACACCGCGCGGACCCCAAACCGTGATTATGTAAATTTGGATGCACATTACTGGGCGCAAGTATGTTTGAACTCATCTGCGCGTGCCCCCCCCCTTTTCTCGTGCAAACATCCCACCCGCCCACCCGCAACTAGTTGGTATACTGAACTGGGCGACGGTACTGACGATGCCGATCATGATGTTCATGATCACGGTTGGGACGATGTTTGCCTTGACGATGGTGAAGTTGGTGGAGGTGAGATGGACGGTGGCGATTATGACGTTGGCGATGGCAGGTGTTGATGAAGATGATGAGAACTGTCTCGCGCAGACATTCGACGATGACGACGGCATCCAACGATGACGACGATGGCGACGGTGGTGGTGACGATGAGGACTATCATGATGATGATGAGGAGGAGGAGGAGGATGCTGATGCTGATGCTGATGCTGCTGCTGCTGCTGCTGATGATGATGATGATGATGATGATGATGATGATGATGATGATGATGATTCTTATTCGTATTATCTTTACGATGATAGACATAATTTGATCGGCGATCAGGGTAGTCGTTGTTTTGACAAGGATGGTGGGGACGTGCGCGCGCGAAGCAGCTCGGCTTATCGATGGTTTCCTCTGGCAGTGCATGTGGCGTGCAGTTCACATGGTTTGAACCACATTTGCGTTGAAATGCTTAGAACGTGCGTGACGTGGGAAGGATTTCGACGTGCGCGCAGGGACGCGCGCGCGTGGTCCGCACTTTATGCGTGGACAGCGCTGTCGGGTGCGCCGACATGGTTGAACGTGACCCGCATGCGCTCTCGCGCGGCATGCATGCTCTCATTTAACATAATGGCTAAGTACTCCAGATTTCGTAGTAAAGGGAGGGGGGTCTCATTTCGGGGGGGGTCTCTTCCAGGCTATCTTGGAGGGCCTGGGGGGTCTGGGGACGATGTTTTGCAGGGTTCTCCCACGCGGGAGGTCTGAAATGGCTTGTCTTGGAGGGTCCAGACCCCCTCCCTTTAATTACGAAATCTGGAGTAATTGCATCGTTTCCTCGTCTGGTGTTATCGGGTATACGCGCGCAGGATGCTGTTAGCGCCCCCGCCCGTCCGGCCCGGCACCACGGGCGGCGACCGCCATGGGCGGCGCACGGGAGGCCGCATAACCTGTGACGCTTCGTGCCCCGGGGCTCCCGAGAGCCGCAGAAGCGTGATGCACTTTTTCCGCCGCGTCTAGGTTTGTGTCGTTTGCGCCGTCGCCCTCCCTAGGGGGCCGCATGCGAACCCTACCCCTGCTCCGAGCACAGTACATGACCACCACCACCAAGGTCGAGAATCATCTACGATACGATGTGGTGCAGCTTTGCTCTGGTGAAAAGCCCGCAGTCCCCCTCCCGCCGCCAACGGCAACCAGGCTGCCCCCTCTCTCTGAAGGGCCGAAACAGAATTCATCAAAGCACGCGCGGTGGTGGTGTATACAATTTTGGTTACCAAGAGGAGCGATTCTTATACACCACCACCAAGAAGCTTTTTCCTGCTTCAGAAACTCCCCATCCCACGGCGCCTGCGAGCTGCGCCGCGCTCCTTTTCGCCGTGGCGTCGCAGCGTCGTCTGGCATGACCTTGCCCCTAAACCTTTTTGCGATAAACTACTGTTGCGGGCGGCGGTGGTGTATAAAAATTGGCCTCGCACTTGCCCCCCACGATTTCTGCGGGGGGGGGGGGTCACTTAGTTAGGGATCTCCCGAGCGAAGTGACCCCCCCCTCAGAAATCGTGGGGGGCAGGGGTAGGGTTCGCATGTGGCTCCCTTACTCCCTTTCTTCGTTTCTTGTTTTGGCTCTCGCGTGGCAAACCGGAGGGCCTCTTCGGCTACTTCTGGGCCGTCTTCGGGCCCTCGTGGGCCCGGGGCCATCTTGGCTGTCTGGAGGGTCTTGTGGCCGTCGTGGGGCCGTCTTCGGGCAGTCGCGGGGCTCTCTGAGGCGTCGGGCGGGACCACAGCGAGATCTATGGAACGCCAATCAGCCAAACGGCGACTGGAAAGTTCTGCACCCTTAAGGCCGCAAGGAGACATGGGAAGCCACAGTAAGCCTCTTGGCCACCAGGAGCCTGCGACAGCCAGTGCCCCCCGCAAGGGGAAACTACTGGAGTCCACGTGTAGTCATGGGGGGCCAAGTGGCCACCCGGAAGTGCGGCACACGAGGACAGTGAGATGGCCGGAAGCTACAGGAAGCCGCAGGAGGCGAATTGATGACGGGAAAGTGAGTGGGGGGAGGAACGACGGGACGAGAGTCGAGACTGGGAGGGGGGAGGAAGAGGAGAGGAAGGAGTGGGGGGAGGAAGAGGTTTGAGGATGGGGTGAGGAGGGCGTTGGAGGAGAAGGAGCATGGCCAGAGTACATCCAGGAAGCACCGCAGCTCCTGCAACACAACCTCCAGTCCCGATTGTCCTCCTAAAGTCCCTACAAACTTTCTTGCAGGAGGACGGACGAGGTCACCTCCGTACATGCCAGGCAGCCTCGGCCCAAATGGCCCGAATTCCCAACGCCTACAGGGCAGGGCATCGTCTCTGAGCCAGCCCCGCACACGGGGACTCTTCCTCCTCCTCCTCCTCCTCCTCCTCCTGCTCCTCCTCCTCCTCCTCCTCCTCCTCCTCTTCCTCCTTCCTCCCTTCCTCCTCCTCTTCTCCTTCGTCCTCCTCTCTCCTCGTTCTCTCCTCCTCCTCTCCTCCTCCCTCCTCCTCCTCCCGCCTCCTCCGCCTCACGCTTCGAAAGGGGAACGGGCGGGTCTTGCAGGGAGAGGAGTCCCTGGCAGGGTCCACGCCGATGCGATCGATCCGATTCGAGATTCGAGGTTCGAGGTGTTCGAATGTCTTCATCGGTTCTCGGTGCTTCTCAGGCCTCGGGATGCTTTCCAGCAGCTGCGCCTCGCCGAGGGCGTCAGATCCGATCGCACGATCATATTTGTCCAGTTCGGTCTGATCGAGTGGGTTCGAGATCGATTCCGATCGTACAGATCCGACGATCCAATGCGGCCAGATGTCAGTGTGACGCTGTTGTGACACGGCCGACGCAGCTCGTTTCTGATTCCGTGCCGAGGCGGCCCGACTCGATGCACGTGATTGTCCGATCCGATGGACCCATGGCCAGAAGGGGGGGAAGCCACAGAAATCCGCAGACAGTCCGGCGGCCATCGCAGATAGGTCCGCCAGGGAGCTCGACAGTCAAAGCCAGTGAGGGGGAATCGATCCGTGGGAAGCAACAGGAAGCCAAGCGGTGCCTGGACAGTGGGGCGTCGCGCGGTTGAGGGGCGGGTCAGCTGTCCTCTGAGGGTTTGGGGTTTAGGGTTTAGGGTCTACCAGGCGTGGCCACGAGTACACCCGGACCGCGAACCCACCTGCGGTGGCCGTCACTCCCACCCGCAAGCCACCCCACCATAAAGATCATCTCTCCCCTCGGTATACGCACATCGAATACAACGTCGACGACGACGACGACGACGGGGACGACTGATGTGCGATCCAGTTGGCACGCGAGTGCTCTGACGGGCGGGAAGAGTCGGGTCGGGCGGAAGAGATTGCACGCATGCGCAGCACATGCTAGTTTGTGGAATAGATGGATGGGCTCGCAACGGGGGCTGGGCACTTTGCATTGTAAAGTACCAGAGATTCTGCACGCATGCGCAGGAAGTGCCTTTTTTTTGCCGGAGATGGAGCCGGTTTACATGACGGGGTCGCACTTTCTATTGTAAAATACAGGAGATTCTGCACGCATGCGCAGGAAATGCTATTTTTTGCAGTAGGTGGAGCGGGGTCGCAACGGGGACTGGGCACTTTGTATTGTAAAATACATGAGATTCTGCGCACATGCTCAGGAAATGCAGTTTTTTGCAGTCGATGGGGCCGGGTCGCAACGGGGACTGGGCACTTTGTAGTGTAAAATGCAGGAGATTCTGCGCGCATGCTCAGGACATCGTTTTTGCAGTCGATGGAGCCGGTTTGCAGAACGTGCGGTTTTGTAGTAGTCGGGGTTTAATAATCATAGGGTTAGGGACTTAGGTGACTATTCTGCAGCAGCTGCTACCTCCGTCGGCACCTCTCCCGCGTCCGGGGGTTGGGCCTCCTGCTCCGCCAGCTCCTGGACCTGGCGCTGTAGGTACAGGTGCAGGTGCAGCGGGGCGGGCGCTTCGAAAAGTCGGGGGTGGACAGAACCCCCCCCAACAGTGACACGTCGATCAGTGAATTGTCCGTTTTCGGTTCTCGAGATGGCGCCGTGGCCGTTATTTTCCAGGCTTGCGCCCGCCAGGTTTGGGCCTCAGGCCGTTTTCACTAAACCACGTTTTACTAAACGGGGGTATGTCCATCCCCGAAAAAGGATTGCATGGGCGCCTCAAAAGAGCCCCTGGGATGCCTCCCGCGTTGGATGAGGGACCGCTGGGTCCTGTCGCCTGGCCGCGCGCGAACCTTTGAGAGTGCATCCACTTGCGTGGCAGCGCGGATTCGATCCTGCGCATTTGCCGCCTTTGGAGCAGAGAACGAAACGGCCACGTGTTGGAGCAGCGCAAGCAAAAAGCTGGTGGCCTTGGGGCCGTGCGCATAGCGAAGCTAGCTTCGGCGCGCGTCGTGGGGTGCGTTCTGACCAGGATTTCGATGCGAATCCAGCGGTGGCGACGAGGGCCTCCCATATGAGGCATGAGCTGGTTTCGCCGGCGCTGGTTTCGCCCCGCTGGTTTCGCCGACTGCTGGTTTCGCCAGCGCTGGTTTCGCCGGCACTGGTTTGACCGGCGCTGGTTTCGCCCCGCTGGTTTCGCCCCGCTGGTTTCGCCGGCGGCTGGTTTCGCCGGCGCTAGTTTCGCTGGCGCGAGCCCTAGCGCGGATCGGGTCGGGCGGGCGGACCCTAGCGGGCGGGTCGGGTCGGGTCGGGTCGGGCGGGCGGAGCTTGACGGGCGGATCGGGTCGGGCGGGCGCGACATGAAAGTGTGGGGCGCGCTCGACCGAGCACGCGCGAAACCGAACGGTCGGGTCGGGTCGGGTGGACCCTAGCGGGCGGGACGGGTCGAGTCGGGCGGGCGGACCCTAACGGGCGGGTCGGGTCGGGATGCTGGGACATTAAAGTGTGGGGCGCGCTCGACCGACCATGCGCGAGCCCGAACTGGCGGGTCGGGTCGGGCGGGCGGACCCTAGCGGGCGGGTCGGGTCGGGCCGGGCGGGTCCTAATGGGCTGGTCGGATCGGGCGGGCGGGACATGAAAGTGTGGGGCGCGTTCGACCGAGCACGCGCGAGCCTGAACAGGCGGGTCGGGACGGGCGGGCGGACCCTAGCGGGCGGGTCGCGTCGGGCTGGGCGGGTCGAGTCGGGCGGGTCGGGTCGGGCGGGCGGGACATTAAAGTGTGGGGCGCGTTCGACCGAGCACGCGCGAGCCCGATCGAGCGGGTCGGGACGGGCGGGCGGACCCTAGCGGGCGGGTCGGGTCGGGCAGTTTCGCCGACGGCAGCTGGTTTCGCCGGGCGGCGAAACCAGCTGGGCGAAACCAGCCCGGCGAGACCATCCGCCGGCGAAACTAGCGGTCGCCTCCCAGGCTGCCCAAAAAGGGGGAAAACGGGCGAGGGGGTAGAGGTATGGGTACCGTTTCCTCCTCCGACGTTCGAGACACAGGGCTGTCTTCTGGTCGGCCGCTTTCTCACGGCGGCCGATGCTCAGGAGACGAGTCCCCGCGGCTTCCCTTCTGTGCTCCCCTTCGCTCTCTGGCGGGGCGGGGAGCCTCGGTAGGCGGCGGCGGGGGCGGCCTCCATGCAGTGGGGCCCATGCCAAGAAACACCCTGCTTGCCTCCAGGGTGCCCTGGGTTTCTTGGATTTCGATGGTTTTGCTGTGGAAGGCGTGGTGCTCCCACGCCAGAACAATCCATGGACATCCTGGGGTTCCAGGGTTGGGTTTCTTGTGGAGGGATTCTCGTGGTCGGGCCTCCACTGTACCTCCAGGACAGAAGCCGTGCCGACAGGGGGGGGGCAGGGACTTGGCGGGCTTGCCGAAGGCCTTCTGGGAGGTGCTGGGTCAAAGTCGGGCTCCACTGTTGGAGGGCCCTGGAAACAAACTTGATATAGTTACTCAGAAGACGAGTTTCTGAGGCCAGGCGCGCTGACGGGGGCCCCGCCGCGTGCGCCGCCGGGCGGCGGTCTGCGGGGGCGCGAGGCCGGGCGGGGGCGAGGCCGGGCGGGGGCGGGGCGGGGGCGGCTGCGGACCGCCCGACTGATGTCGGGGGAGCGTAAGACCCGGGTTTGTCAGGACTCGGGTTCGCCATTGTTTTTTGACGACCGCGACTCGGATTTTGACGAGTAGGAGTTTCGTGGGATGTCTGCAGCGGGAGGCCTCGTCAAGATGCAGGCTCGGCCTCGTCATTTTTTTGACGACCTCGTCGGGGATTTCCGAGTCCCCTGTGCCCGGGTCTTGCGCCCCCCTGATGACGTAATGTTGTTTGGGAAGTTGGCCGAGGGAGAGAGGGCCGTGGAGGGGGCTGCCCTTCCCCCGCGTCCTCGAGCCTGTGGAGTCGGGGCCCACGAGGAGGCCCCCGAGTCTTGAGCCAGAGTCGCCACGGGCCCCCGGACAGCGGAGCACGCGGGGTCAGTCGGAGGGGCGACCAGGAGGCCATGGGAGGACATGGCGGGAAGCGAAGCGGCGCCCAGAAAGTACGGCGCTCGGGTCCTGGCCCAGGAGGGCCCCCTCCAGAGCGAGCCTTGCATGGGGGATGTCGTGCTCTGGAGGCAGCAGCGGCGTCGGCAGTGGCTGTCGTCGGGCCAGTATTGGGGTCAGCGGTTCGGGCTCGAAGGGGAAGTGCAGCACTGTTGGTGACAGAGGTCGTTGTGCTGGTGGCGTTAGTGTAACCGGGCGAGGCGAAGAGTGAATGACACCGGAGAAGGATGTGCAGAGAGGGGAGGGGTAAGGGGAAGGGCAACGAGCATGAGTTCAGCGGAAAATGATATTCCGATACCGCTACCGTTCCTTCGTAGCCACGATGGGATCTGCCCCGAAATCTTGGTCCGAGCGCGCTCCGGGAGAGGTCTGGGGCGTAGCGGGATCGATATATTGCCGGTACCTCAGGAGTGGAAGGCGGGAGAGATCTGAGGAGGAGGAGGAGGAGGAGGAGGAGGAGGAGGGCCGAGGTCGTTGCTGTGCTCATCAACCTGGATCCCAAGAGCCCGAATGCCAACACCGTGAGCCTCTTCCGGTCAGGGCAGAAATTCTGATCCAGCCCCGCACCCTTGCTTTCCTGCGCCTCTCCTCCCCCTCACCTTTCCTCCTCCTCCTCCTCCTCCTCCTCCTCCTCCTCCTCCTACTCCCCTTCCTCCTCCTCCGCATCCTCCCCCTCCGACTCCCCTTCCTCCTCCCCCTCCTCCTCCTCCTCCTCCTCCTCTTCCTCCTCCTCCTCCTCTTCCTCCCCCTCCTCTTCCTCCTCCTCCTCCTCTTGCGTCACCACCGTGCCCTGCAAGGACCATCCTTGGCCCTGGCATGGTATACACGTTGTCCTTGCTGAGGCATGAGGAACATATACACCCCACTGGGACTCAGGATGGACCTGGCCAGGCACGGTGGTTGTATGCAGATATTTTCTGCAGACTCCTGACCCTCTTTGTCCGCCCACGCACCCTCCTTCCGCCTCCCTCCTCTCTCCCTCCTCTCCCTGGTATCCTCTCTGTTATCGCCCTCCTCGTTCCTCCCTTCCTCCCTACTCGTCTGTGCCTTCGCCCTTTCTCCACTCCCCGCCTTCTTCCAACCACTGCCCTCTCCTTTCTTCCTCCCGCCTCGTTCTCTCTTCCCAAGGCTCGGGCGTTTCCATATCCCTTGCCCGGGAAGTCGCTCTGCCTGCACCTTGGGCCTCGCGTAATGGGGGGACGCATGGGGGTGCAGCGAGGGCTGCAGAAAAGGGGCTTTCTGGGGCCCCTTGACGGGCCCTTTAGGGCCCAGAAGAGGGAATTTAGGGTCCAACAAGTGTAGCTTTCTCCCTCCCCATGTTCGCGTCCCCCATTAAGCGACGCCCGAGGTCCTCGGGAGACGGTGGATATGGATCCTCGGGCCCCCTCAGCCACAAGCACCTCTCTCTCTCTCTTTCTCCCTCTCTCTTTGTTTCTCTCTCTCTCTCTCTCTCTCTCTTTCTGTCTCTTTGTCTTTCTCTCTTTCTGTAAATGCCGTTTTTACCTAACAGCGAAGACTGATAGGTTTCTAGTAGGCTCAAAAGAGAGCATCATGACTCCTCAGGGGGGTCGGGGCGGGACCCGGGGCGGCTGCCGTCGAAGCCCAAATCGCTCGGGACATCCTCTCAAAATCGCTCTTGGCGCTGCTAGAACTCCATTCCCGGCGTACATTTTGGATGCCCGGAGCCAACTGTAGGCCACTTCGTGGTCTTCGAGTTCCCAGAACTCCATTCCCGGCGTACATTTTGGATGCCCGGAGCCAACTGTAGGCCACTTCGTGGTCTTCGAGTTCCCAGAACTCCATTCCCGGGCCACATTTTGGATGCCCGGAGCCAACTGTAGGCCACTTCGTGGTCTTCGAGTTCCCAGAACTCCATTCCCGGGCCACATTTTGGATGCCCGGAGCCAACTGTAGGCCACTTCGTGGTCTTCGAGTTCCCAGAACTCCATTCCTGGGCATGATTTTGAATGCCCGGAGCCAACTGTAGGCCACTTCGTGTTCTTCGAGTTCCCAGAACTCCATTCCCGGGCCACATTTTGAATGCTGAGGCAGGCTGAGGCTGAGGCTGAGGCAGGCTGAGGCTGAGGCGAGGCTGAAGGCAGACTGAGGCTCAGGCTGAAGCAGGCTGAGGCTGAGGCTGAGGCTGAGGCTGAGGCAGGCTGATGCTGAGGCAGGCTGAGGCTGAGGCTCTGAGGCTGAGGCTGAGGCTGAGGCTGAGGCTGAGGCAGGCTGAGGCTGAGGCCGAGGCTGAAGGCAGACTGAGGCTGAGGCTGAAGCAGGCTGAGGCTGAGGCTGAGGCAGGCTGAGGCTGAGGCTGAGGCTGAGGCTGAGGCTGAGGCTGAGGCAGGCTGAGGCTGAGGCTGAGGCTGAGGCAGGGTGAGGCTGAGGCAGGCTGAGGCTGAGGCCGAGGCTGAAGGCAGACTGAGGCTGAGGCTGAAGCAGGCTGAGGCTGAGGCTGAGGCAGGCTGAGGCTGAGGCTGAGGCAGGCTGATGCTGAGGCAGGCTGAGGCTGAGGCTGAGGCTGATGCAGGCTGAGGCTGAGGCAGGCTGAGGCTGAGGCCGAGGCTGAAGGCAGACTGAGGCTGAGGCTGAAGCAGGCTGAGGCTGAGGCTGAGGCAGGCTGAGGCTGAGGCTGAGGCAGGCTGAGGCTGAGGCTGAGGCTGATGCAGGCTGAGGCTGAGGCAGGCTGAGGCTGAGGCCGAGGCTGAAGGCAGACTGAGGCTGAGGCTGAAGCAGGCTGAGGCTGAGGCTGAGGCAGGCTGAGGCTGAGGCTGAGGCTGAGGCTGAGGCTGAGGCTGTGACTGCGACTGCCGTTGCCACTGCGACTTTCATCGCGAATGCGACTGCGACTGCGAGAACAGCAGAATTCTACAACTGGATTCTCATGTGAATCTTAAGGGGAATGCTTCCAGATATGCTCCTACACATCGCTGTTAGGTTGCTTTGCAGGGATAAATTGTATAGAGAGATACACTTATGCAACAGTTATGGGGTGTCCTTAGGTTCAGGTGCAATTTTCGTATACTCAGCTCCTCGGTTTCCAGAGCGCCCGAGATGGCCGAAGGGGCCCCCGATATCGCTCCAAGATGGCCCAAGAGGACCCCAAGACGAGCCCAGGACGGCCAAAGAGAGGCCCAGGATGGCCCCAAGAAGCTCCAAGAGGGCACCCAGAGGGGCACCAGGCGGCCGAAGAGGGCCCCAAGGACCAAGGCGGCACCAGCGGGCCCCAAGACGGCCCAGGAGGCCACGGCCTGAAAGTGGCTTCGAGAGACCCCGAAGAGGGCTCCGCGGGTCCCTGCGTTGGTACTGCGACGGTTCATTGGTAGCTACTGGGGGCATTTTGGGGCGGAAGGCTCGAACTATCGGTCCGGGCTCGTGTACGTAAGGTGTACACGCTCTCCCAACGCAATAGGGGCGATGCCTGCCTCCTGGAGCCCTCTTCGCGGCGCTCCTGGAGGACCCTTGCGGGGCCCTCTTGGGCTCTTGGAGCGTCTTGGAAGCCACCGTTTCGGAGGAGGAGGAGGGAGGAGGAGGAGGAGGAGGAGGAAGGAGGAGGGAGGAGGAGGAAGGAGGAGGAGGGGCCCTCTTCCAGCGTCTCGGGGGCCCTATGGGGTCCCAGCAGGTGGCGCGACGGGACGCCCCCGAGGGGGCCCGGGGGGGGCACGAGCCAAGCCCCGAGGGATGTGAGACCTCGGGGTCGGGGCCCTCGCGAGATGCCTCGGGCTTGAGGAGTGAGGCTCAGGGAGTTGAGCAGGGGACCCGAGGACACACCAACTCGTGCCTCAGGGCACGGTAGCGGATATTCTATATTATATTATATATATATATTATTAGATTATATTATACATATATATATATGATGGACTTGTGACCTCTCGGATAACCCTGGGAAACACACACACACACACACACACACACACACACACACACACACACACACACACACACACACACACACACACACACACACACACACACACACACACACACACACACACACACACACACACACACACACACACACACACACACACACACACACACACACACACACACACACACACACACACACACACACACACACACACACACACACACACACACACACACACACACACACACACACACACACACACACACACACACACACACACACACACACACACACACACACACACACACACACACACACACACACACACACACACACACACACACACACACACACACACACACACACACACACACACACACACACACACACACACACCACACACACACACACGTATATATGGTATCCAGTATTTATCTCTCTATATATGTATATATATATATATATATATATATATATACATACCGGGGAACGGGACCTGGGGCCGCCAGATTGGTGCCTCGGACCCCTATGGGGGCCACGGGGCTCACTTTCCTTGTGTTTTTACAGGGTTCGGCGTTCCAAGGCCTCTTTCCCTGTGTTTTTACAAGGTTTCCGCGTCCTGGGCCTCGGAGGCCGCCGCCTCCGACGCCCCTTGGGAGGACGGGGCGGCCGGGGAAGTCCAAAATAGTCCAGGAGGGCCTCCAGAGGCTCCCAAGACGGCCCAAGCGGGCCCCGAGTCGCCGAAAGACCGCTCCAGGACGCCCAAGATAGGCCCAAGACGGCCCGAGAGGCCCCCCAAGGCACTCCACGACGCTTCAAGACGCCTCTCCAGAGCGCTTCAAGAGACCGAAATCGTGAATTTTACGAAGGTTTTCGAACGATTTGGGCCTTCCAGCCTTTTCGGCCGTCCAACGTCCAAGACGGCTCAATAGGCCCCCAAGAGCGCCCCAAGACGGCCCAAGAGGGCCCCAAGACGGCCCCAGAGTCGCCCAAGACAGCCCAACAGAGCCCCAAGACGGCCCCAAGATGCGCCCAAGAGGGGGACCGGGGGACCACGACTCCAAAATTCTACCCTCCCGCTTGAAGTGTACCCTCCCGCTCAGTGACAGCACTTGTGCACAGCATGTTCCGGCGGGAGCCTTCCGGAACACGCTGCAGGAGGAGGAGGAGGAAGATCAGGAGGAGAGAGAGCTGGAGTGGGATGAGGAGGAGGAGGAGGAGGAGGAGGAGGAGGAGGGGGACGAGGAGGAGGAAGAGGCCTCCAAGACAGCTACAAGATAGCCGAAGAGGCTTCCAAGATGGCCCTGGGCGGCCCACGAGGGCCCCAAGGCGGTGCCTGAGGCGCCCAAGACGGCCTGAGAGGGCCCCAAGACGTCCCCAAGAGAGGCCCATGAAGGGAGACAAGAACTGAGAATCCGAGCTTCCTACCCCGAGAGGTTCTCGGGAAGTCCCAAGAGGCCCCCAATCGGATCCAAGAGGCCCCCAAGAAGCTGCCAAGAGGGCCGACGAGGTTGCAAGAGATCTCCCAAGGTGGCCCCAAGAGGCACAACTCATTGTTTTACGATTGGGCTTTGACGGGTTTTAATGTTTGTCGGCCTTTTGGCATCCCGATGCTCCATGACGGCTCAAGAGGCTTCCAATACCGATCCAATATAGAGGAAGAGGCCTCCAAGAGGGCCCCAAGACGGCCCGCGAGGGCCCCAAAACGGTGCTTGAGGCGCCCAAGACGGCCCGAGAGGGCCCCAAGAGCCCCAAGAGAGGCCCAAGAAGGGGAACGCGACCCAGCAGCAGAGCGTTCCCCCCAAAAGGCCCACAGGAGGCCGCAAGAGGCCCCCAAGTGGTCCGACGAGGACCCCAAAAGCTTCCCGAGGGCCCAAAACGCCCCTAGGAGACGTCCAAGAGGTTTTAAAATAGCCCAAGAGTGCCCTCGATGCGTCAAAACTGCTTTCAGGAGGCCCCCGGGAGGCTTCCAGATTGCCTCAATCTGGCCGCAGGTGGCCTCAAGTCGGGCCTCCACGCAGCCAAGACGGCCAATGACGGCTTCAGATTGCAGAGCCGATGCCGCCAAGGGACCCTCAGACGCCCCCCCAAGAGGCACCCAAGAGGTGCCTCCAACAGCCAGTTGACGAAGCATGCGGAACACCCCAGAAGCTCCTCAGATGCCGTCGCGCGCCTGTGCTTGATAGCGTTGTCCAAGATCGTCCAGCGCCCCCCCAGCCTGGGCTAGAACCTGAGCGCGCGCGAAGCGCGCGCGATGGTTCTAGTATATATATATATATATATATATTTATACATACACACGTGGATATAGTGCAGATTCATATTCACCCTCCTGAGGGGTCCCAGGACATCGCATCCCCAGGCGGTTGATATGGATGCATCACCAACTTGCACTCTTCTTTCGTCCTGGCGGAGGGTGGGAGGCGGCTCCCGTCAGGTCCGGCGTGCGCGTGAGCGAACCGATGCCGCTCCCGGACGACCTCAAGGGCAAGGCGCTCTTCCCCCACATCTCGTTCCGCAACGTCTCCGTGCAGGCTCGGGCCGGGGGTCAGCAGGACGGGGCTGGGACGAGGATGGATCCGCTCCAGAGCGTTCCAGGACGCTCTCGGAGCCTTCCGGAACGCTCCGAGATGGCCGCGGCGCCCGAGACAGCCTCCAGGGCCCCTGGAACTCGGAGGTCCTCGACTCATCCTCACCCGAGTGCATCCTCGTCCAGGCCAAAGTCTTGGCCAGCGGGAGCCACCGCGGAGGGCAGGAGCTGCTTCTGGTGCTCTCCCTCGAGCCGCCACTGCTCCCGTGGGCTCTGCAAGCGCGGCGCGCCTCGCGGAGCGCGCGCGTGCCCGCGGCGCGGGAGGGCGCGGGCGCCGGGCCGCGAGGTGAACTTCGGGAAGGCGCCGATGGCGGCGCTGCCTTTCACATGCAGGACAGTCGCCTCCGCCTCCTTCCGCCGCCGACGGTGCGCATCCTTCTCTCCTTCTCTCTATTTAGGTTTTTTTTTGTTCTCGTTCTCGTTTTTTTTTTTTGTTTCTCTCTCTCTCTCTCTCTGTCTTGCTTGTTGCTCTCCTGCGGTTTGGACCGAGCTCCCCGGGGGGAGGGTTTTCTTGGGGAGGGGGGGGGGCAGCTCACGCGCCGATGGACCCCCAGGGGCGGTCGGCGGACTGCGGGCTCCAGGGTGCTTTCTCTCGTGCATACACTCGCGAGGGTAAGTGCTTGCACTCGCGAGGGTAAGTGCATAGGTTTTGCCCGCATGTGAGGCTTGTTGTCACAAGGCGTGCTGGCTTTAATCCCATATCTCAACAACCGATCTTGAGACACCTCTGAGGCAACCTTGCCTAACAAAAAAATGCAGGGTGCTTCCCATATTGCCCCGCAGTGTCGAAGGCGCTCTGGGGGCTCTCGTTGGCTTCGGCTTCTACAGTCGGGGCCTTGACCTAAGGAACCCTAGATAAGGAACGAGGCCCCTTTTTGCCACAAGTTCTGCTTCTGTTGCCCATGGAAGACCTCAGGAAAGCCCGAGGCAAGCTGTCAAACACTCGAGGAACACCGAGCCCCTCCCCAACGAGAAGGGTTCCTTCTTCAGCACCCCGACTGTACGGTAGGTTTGCGTCGTGTCGACCAGCGGCGACCCCAGCGCGGGCGTTCAAGGTTGAACGCCGCCGGCGACCCAGAATCGACCGATGCTGAACGATCGGACGTTGCGGCAGCGGCCGATCGTTCAAGGTTGAACGATCCCTGCAGTGTCAGAAACCAACGCTGGGGTCGGCACGACACGAACCTGCCGTATCCATGTTCGCTGCGTCTTGGACTTTCTCTGGCGAGTGGCGTCAGAAGGCCGAGGCGCAGCGGATACGCAGACAAAAGTCTGGCCCCCGCAGGGGCCAGGCTTTTGTCCGCAGCCGCTGCGCCCCTGACTGCGAAGGCGGCCTCGCGGCCGGTGCCGCCGGCCCTGCAGACGAGGAAGACGAGAGGGAGGGGGGGGGGAAGGGCAGGGGGAGGAGGAGTGGCAGGAGGAGGAGGAGGAGTGGAGGAGGAGGAGGAGGAGGAGGGAAGGAGGAGGAGAGGAGGAGGAGGAGGAGGAGGAGGAGGAGGAGGAGGAGGAGGGAGGAGGGCAGGAGGGAGGAGGAGGAGTGGAGGAGGAGGGAGGAGGAGGAGGAGAGGAGGAGGAGGAGGAGGAGGAGGAGGAGGAGGAGGAGGAGGAGGAGGAGGAGTGGCAGGAGGAGGAGGAGTGGCAGGGGTCGGCACGGCACGAACCCCGCCGTATGCGCGGTTCCCCCGGCGGCCTCGCCCTGCGCCCGAAGAAAACCCCCGACGAGCGCGCAGCTCCGCCCGCCGCGGGGGGGGGGGGGCGCGTCGCGCGGCGCCGCTTTTCGCGGGGCCTGGCGGCTCTCCAGGTGGGGAAAAGACACACAGACACAACGAATCGTCGATTCCCCAGAACATATAGGAAAATATGGGAGGTGGGGGGGAAGGCAGAAGCCCAGAAGATATGGGAAAGTATGGGGAATATTGTTATTTGTGTGTATTTATTTGTGTGTCCTGGGGCCCCTTCAGGATCGCCAGAGACGGCCTCACGGTGAGGATCGTCGGCCGTTTATGTTTTCTCCATCGGCGTAACCATCAGGCGATCGCAAACATCTACTCCAGATTTCGTAATGAAAGGGAGGGGGTCTGGACCCTCCAAGACAAGCCATTTCAGACCCCCCCCCCCGTGGGAGAACCCTCCAAAACATCGTCCCCAGACCCCCCCAGGCCCTCCAAGATAGCCTGGAAGAGACCCCCCCCGAAATGAGACCCCCCTCCCTTTATTACGAAATCTGGAGTACCAAGAGGGCGTGGATTAGCGACGGGTTCCGTTTCCATGGGGAACCGCGGATCTTCGCCGCCGAACGAGGCGGCACCGACCGCATTCTGGGGAGGGCAGCTCCGCCGATCCATGGATGTGGCGACCGCGCGCCAAATCCATGGATCGCTAATCCATGTTTGCGCGTCCCCGAAATTACGTGCTGAAGGGCCGACGCGGTTGAGCCTGGAACCCTTTGTCGCGGTTCCGTAACCATGGTCGCCTCTCAACAGCGCGTTCCCGCGGGAGCGGTCATCTGGGGCGCTGACCCACTTGAAGGAGTGTGCAGGCGATCCCGAGGAAAAGGAGAACGGAGGACGGAAGCGACGCATAGCGACGCGAGGGAAGAAAGGAGTCCCAGGACTACGGCGTGAAGAGAAGGAAGAATGCGATCTTGAGAGGAAGCCGTAGATTTGGCAAGAGAGGTCAGAAGAGCGAAATCCGAGCCGATGTGTTGCGCAAGGCAGGGTCCCTCCGTTGATTCGGCCCATGCGCAATTTTCAGGACCTGGTCATAGAATATGAGCGAAGGCCCAGCGAGAGCCCCGTCCTGAACAAGAAAGCACCAAGGCGGCTCAAGACACGTAGGTCGAAGACAGTTCCAAAACGGCCTCACGATGCCACAAAGACGGACCCGCCAGCATGCGTCCAAGAGCTTCGCGATGGTCCAGGAGCCTTCTGACGCGTCCCATGGCCCGCTCAGACGGCTCCTCGCTCGTCCGCAGAGCCCAGGGACCCCCCCAAGCGAGGCCTTGGAAGCCCATCTTGGGGCTACCTGAGGCCCCTCCGCTCATCGGCGCCTCCTCTGCCCTCTTGAAGCCATCTTGACTCACAAGTGACGTCCTCGGAGTCGGCTGGAACCTACGCGCGAGGGTGTAGCGCGCGCGTGGTCCTACTCTGGAACTTCGGAGAGAACGTCGGGGAGGGGCCTCCTGGCAGATTCCATCTGGCGTAGGACACCTGTTCGAGATTCCAACGGGATCCAGAGTGTTCGAGGAGTTCGAGGGTTCCCCGGGAGGTCCTGGAGGGTTTCCGGGCCCCCCCTGGGAGTTCGTAGAGGGTTCGAGGGCCCCTTCGGAGGTTCTTGGAGGGTTTGAGGGCCCCCTGGGTGTTTCTGAAGGGTTTGGGAGGGCTTCAGTTTCTCCGTGGTGTCTTAAAGAGGATTTGCGGGGAGCTCCAGGGACCCCCTGGAGGTTCTTGGAGGTTTCGAGGGCCCCCCAAAGGTTCCTGAAGGTTTTCAGGGCACCCCATAGAGGGTTCCTGGTGGGTTCGACGGTCCCCCGAGGGGTTCCTAGAGGCCCTCCCAGGGTCCTGGAGGGTTCTGGAGGGTTCTAGGATCCCCTCGGGGAGGGTTCGAGGGAGCGTTTCAGGACCCCCCAGGGGTGTCGTGGAGGGTTCGATGGTCCCTGCGGGGCGTCCTGAAGGCTTTCAGGGTCCCTCCAGGGATTCTTGGAGGGTTCTGGGGGTTCCTGGAGATTCGAGGGTCTCCCTGGGGGGTCCTGAAGGGATTGGGGGTCGCCCAGGATTGGAGGGTTTCAGGGTCCTCCCGAGGACTCCTGGAGCGCTTGGGAGAGTCCCAGGGTCCCACTGGTTGGTGGTTCCTGGAGGGTTCGTGGGGAGCTCCAGGGTCCCTCTTGGAGGTCCCTGGAGGGTTCGAGTGACCGGAGCGTCGCTGGAGAGTTCCAGGCACCTGGAGGACCACTGGAGATTCATTGGAGAGTTCCAGCTGCCGGGCGATGTCTGGACAGTTCCAGGGGGCCATCGCGGGTCACTGAGGAGCTTCAGGGGCCCCTGGAGGGTCGCTGGAGAGTCCAAGGGACCGACCCATGGAGGGTCACTGGGCGATTTCTGGAAAGTTCTAGGGGAACCTCGCGGGTCACTGAGGAGTTTATGGGGCACTGGAGGGTCGTTGGAGAGTCCTAGGGGCGCCTGGAGGGTCACCGAAGAGTCCCTGCTGGTTCCAGTGGCTTCCTGGAGAGTGTAAGTTAATGGAGTTAACAATTTGTCACTTGAACCTGCCCGAGGGGAGGGTTCAGAGCTCAGGTGAGCCGATTCGCTTACCCATCCTTGTGCTAGGCCCCCCGTTCGTCCGATCCGCCCTCGTCTGAGGATGCAGGCGATTTTGATTCTTCCAATCCCCGAGCTCCACCCGAGAAATTCGGCCGCTCCGAAACGGCGGGAACCCTGAGATACATCCAAAGGGGGCTATTCAGACGCACCCCTATCGAGGATGGACGCCCCCCCCATCGTATATCCCAGGGTTGGGCCCCAAATGTTTCACCAATTCGAAAATCCCACGAAGCCTGGAGTAGGGTCGTCATATCCCCTGTCATTCGGATACAGCTCATTCGGTAGCAAGTCATTGGAGCCTCGTGTGCCCTGGTAACTTCCGCGTTTGGAGCGCACTAGCGACGATTAGCTTGTAGTGATCGATGGAATGGCGCCGATGAGGCGTCGATGCGCGTTGATTTGACGTCGACCAGCGTCGATGTGCGTCGATTCGCAAGAGCCAGCGAGATGGAATGGGAGGCGGCCATGAGCTGCCACAGAAGGATGCTACTCCTGGGAGGTATAATTCAGCATTGGCTCTGGTGCATCCGTGGTCGACCATCGGTCCAATCTGGCACAATACCCCGTTCCTACAGGGCTAGTCCCGCTCAGCCCAGCTTCAGCGGGCTCCATCCTGGGCCCAACACGGGCTACTTCGGCCCAGGCCCAGTGGCGCCCTAATCGGGCTGAGCAGCCGCCAGCCGCTCTCCCGAAGGCCTCCGAGGAGTTGCCTCCGTACCACTCGCTTGACCTGACCCTCCTCTCCCCCCTCCTGAGTGGGCTCATTTGCGACGACGATGGGCAGATCGATCCCATGGAAGCGGTGACCCCCCGACAACGCGAGCACAGGAACAACGATATGCGATGGATCCGGGCCGAAACGCGCACCGAGTCGTGGACAGGGCACAAGCCTCAGCGCCAGCCACATCCCTAAGTGTGTATGGGGATTGTGCCGCCGCTCGGGCGCCAGCCACAATCACATGCTGGGACGCATACGGCATGCATTTTGGCGGGGTTGTCCGGGTTGTTCGGGGGTGTCCGGGGATTTCTTTGGATCAGATTTTACATTGAACATTACGAAGCAGCTGGCGTTTAAAATCGTCGACTTCTTCGTTTCGTTCCGGAGGCTACGGCCTCCAACGTTACGCCCTGACGGGCGCGCGCAGGCGGGTACCCAGGTTTCTCGCCCGCTGTTCTGGCGCTGGCTCGCTCGCTGGCTCTCCCTCCCCACCTTTTCGCCGCCGACCCCGGGTATCCGCCGATCTGTTTTTTCCAATGCGAGGCCCCAGGGGTCCCCACTGCTTCTTCTTACCATTAGGTCGGGCGCGTCCCCATACAGGCGGATTCTGGACGAAAAAATGTAGTCACAAAGTGCAAGGACAATGTTCAAACGTGCAAGAAAATCGTCCCCAGAGTACTTTTGAATATTTTTGAAGATTCCTCCTGTAGAGGGACAGGCCCGACTTAACCTTACCAGTTTGTAGCATCTCCCTAGCAATTGGCATCACCTCACTTCGGTGCCGATCTCATGGATGCCCTCGGTGTCTGAGGGCACGTCCGTGAGAGTGTCATCGCGTTGGCCTTGCCGATCTAGGGATTGGAATATTTGTGGGTCGCTGAGAGTAGGTATTTTTTGATCCCCGGATCCCAATCTACTTTAGCCGCCTTTCTGCTTCAGGAGTCGAGTGGCTTCTCCCTTTCCCTGATACTCAGGGGTCGGGCGGAAGCCCAATCTACTTCCAACGCCTTCCTACTTCATGTTTTTCCCTACCTCTTTCGACCGACGTGCAAGTTCGACGCTGGTCATCCTGGGCGGTAAGTTTTCGGCCCCGATCCACTCTCCTGGCTGTCCCGGGGCGCGAACGAGGCCCCCCGAATGCCGAAGTCGAGGGAGCGAGAGAGAGAGAGAAAACAATAAAACGCCCAGATTCTCTCTCCCCTTAAATCGGCTGCGAGCAAGGGGGAAAGTGAGAAGGGGCGGGCCTTCTCAGAAGGCTCGGAAGTCCCCCCGACTTCCGAGAAGTTTTCCCAGCCTTCCCCGAAGACAGACAAAAGCCTCTCAGAAGGCGCGAGGGCTTCTGAGAAGTCCCGCCGCCTTTGGAGGAGGCCTTCTCCTCCTCATTTCCCCCCCCCTCGCTCGCCGCCGATTAAAGGGCGTGGAGTGAACGCGCCCCCAGCCTCAGAGGAGGAGGAGGAGGAGGAGGAGGAGGAGGAAGAGGAGGAAGAGGAGGAGGAGGAGGACGAGGAGGAGGAGGAGGAGGAGAAGGAGGACGAGGACGAGGACGAGGAGGAGGAGGAGGAGGAAAAGGTGCCCATACCCATCGATGAGCAAAGAGCTTCTAGCCCCGGGGCCGTGGCCTCGCGCGAACATTCTAAGACAGCAGCACCGGGAAGCCGTGGCCTCGCGCAGGTCCCCGTTGTTCTGCATCCTCCTCCTCCCCCTCCTCCTCCTCCCCCTCCTCCTCCTCCTCCCTCCTCCCTCCTCCTCCTCCTCCTCCTCCTCCTCCTCCTCCTCCTCCGTGGGGGCCTCGTCGCTCGTGCGCGGCTCACGCCGCTCGGCTTCCCGCACCCGCCGGGGGCGCGGTCGCGCAGGACGCCTGCTCCGCAGCGGTCCATCTGCAGACGAGACCCCGCCCTGATGTGTTCGGCCCTCCTGCTTTAGGTCCCCTCCCCAAAGGGTTTGTCCCGATCACATACAGAACGTGGGGATGCTGTCTCGAGGAGGGAGGGCGATTGGGTGGCATCTCGTCTTGCATCCGCCTTACCTTGAACGAGCTGCTGGTGGCGACTGTCGTGATGCCGCCGAGATCTCCTGCTGAGCCCGTGCACGGCACGCCTTTCCTGCTTTTGTGGTTGCAGCTGCTACTGTAGTGGCCGCCTCTGACGCTTCAGGTGCGTGACACCTCATAGCCTGCGCAAGAGAAGAAAGAGGTATCCCAAACGCCACCCTTCCCTCGTTTTCCCCCTTTTCGGCCTCCTGGGAGGCCCTCGTCGGCACCGCTGGGTTCGCCTCGAAATCCTGGTCAGCACGCACCCCTGGAGAGATCCGCGGAGTAGCGGTATCGATATTTTTTGCTGATTTCCGCAGATTCTCCCACTTACCCTCGGGCGTTGGGTGAACGCGTGCCCGGGCCAGTCGGCTGAGGAAGTCCGCGCGTGTGCCGGGTTGTTTTTTTGGTGCGGAGCGGACCTCTGACACTCCGCGGCCCCCTTTTTCTCCCTGCCGCTGTCTGTGGGCAAAAGCCCTATCCATGTTCACTGCGTCTTGGTCTTTCTCTGGTGAGTCACCACCCACCAAACCACCCCAACCCAACCCGAAGGCCCGAATTTGCCCTCCATTTCCAGTTGGGGGGGGTCGGGGAACGTCGAGAAAAGACACATGAAGCCCGTACCCCCCCAACCCGAAATTCGGGTCTTCGGGTTGGGTTGGGGTGGTTTGGTAGGTAGTCAGTGAGTGGCGTCAGAAGGCCGAGGCGCAGCGGATATGCAGACAAATCTGGCCCCTGCAGGGGCCAGACTTTTGTCCGCAGCCCCTGCGCCCCTGATTGCGGAGGCGGCCTCACGGCCGGTGCCGCCGACCCTGAAGACGACAAACACGAGAGGGAGGGGGGGGGGGTGCAGGGGGAGGAGGAGGAGTGGCAGGAGGAGGAGGAGGAGGAGGAGGAGGAGGAGGAGGAGGAGGAAGGGGTGCAGGAGGTGGAGGAGGGAAGAGGAGGGGGAGAGGATGAGGAGGAGGAGGAGGAGGAGGAGGAGGAGGAGGAGGAGGAGGAGGGGAGGAGCCTCTTGGAGCCTTGGTGGGGGTGTTCTCGGAGAGCTCCTGGGACGTCTAGGAGGCTTCTTGGATAGTTTGGGAGCCATCTTGGCCGTGCTGGGCCGATCTTTGAGCGACACGGGGCTCTTGTGGGCAATATTGGGAGCCATCGTCGGCATTCTGGGTTCTTTTTTGGGCTGTTCGATGTGTCGGGGCCGCCTGGGGGAAAACGAATCTGGGCGGCGCCCCCCCCCCCCCCCCAGGACCCTCCCCCCCCCGCGGGGAAGGGATCAACGGGAAGGGGCTACCCTTCGACTCCAATGCGACGTTGTACACTTTCGCTTTGGATGGCACGCTTGAGGAGGGCCCAGGGAAAGGAATGAGGAACGACGGATACGGCGAGGAGAAGACTGCGACGACGACGACGACGACGACGACGAGGAGACGGCGGAGACTACAACTCGAACGGAGAAGCCCCTCGCACACGCCGAAGGGTCGGCGGAATTTCTGGGGGAGGGAGCGCCCGAGACTCCAAAAGGCGCAGCCGATGCAGACACCAATCGCACCTGCAGCGGTCGCCCCCCCGCCTCGCCTCGCTCCTCCTCCTCCTCCTTGCCTCTCCTCCCCCTCCTCCTCTCCTCCTCCTCCTCCTCCTCCTCCTCCTCCCTCCTCCTCCTTGCCTTTCCTCCTCCTCCTCCTCTTCCTTGCCTGTTCCTCCTCCTCTCCTCCTCCTCCTTCCTCCTCCTCCCTCCTCTTCCTCCTCCCCCTCTCCTCTCCTCCTCCTCCTCCTCTCTCCCTCCTCCTCCTCCTCCCCCTCCCTCCTCTCCTCTCCTCCTCCTCCTCCTCCTCCTCCTCCTCCTCTCCTCTTCCTCCTCCTTCCTCCTCCTCCTCCTCCTCCTCCTCCTCCTCCTCTTCCTCGCTCCTCGCTGCCTCAGGATGGTGCAGGACGCGGCCAAGCCCGACACCGTGGAGGCCGCTGCCCCCACGGGCAAGGCCACCGTCGTCTTCCCCGTGAGCCTGCCGGACCAGGGCACGTTCGACTGGTCGCGGGGGGGGGGGGTCGGCTACGCTCAAGCAGTGGCGAAGCGTCCTGGAGTGCCCATAGGCCTACCAAGCAATGTTCTAAAAGCCTTCTGTGGTTTCCACGAAATGTTCTTAGAGCATTTCTGGCCGGGACCTGCCGTGTTTGAACACATCGGGTTTATGTTCTAAGAACATTGTTTCTGTTCTTAGAACGTTTTTGGGTGTGAGGACTTTCGTGGTAGGAATATCGGAATGCCGGGACGGTCGGTCCCTGCTCAAGTGGGGGGGGGGGCTACGCGTAAGTTCAGAGGAGGAGGTAATGGGAGGAAACGATAAAAAACCTCTCCCCCCCCCCCCGGACCCCCCAGGATGATTGAGTGGGGCGGAATAATAGAATACAGCCGCCGGAAACTGTTTTTTTAATCGTCCGCCCCCCGGCGTTTGCTTTTGCCCCTTTGGGGGAACTGATTTTCTATTCGTTCTCTTCGCTCGCTTGATGACCCGCGGCCGCGGGGGGAGGATTGCGGAGGGGGGACGGGGTAATTAGGGAAGGGGTTTTCGAACAGGCGCTTGATCACCCTCGTCCTTGCGGACGGCCGCCGGTCGTCCTTGCGGACGGCCGCGGCGATTGGGAGGTGGGGGATGAGGAGCAGGAGGAGGAGGAGGAGGAGGAAGCGGAGGAGGGGGGAGGACAAGCGAGGTGCGCTCGCGTCATATATGACAGCCTACCCCTCTCTCCCATCCCTTACCATGGCGTAGATCCCCTCTCTACTCGCACAGTTGGATGTCGAGCAGGGCAATGATCCCGAAAGGGTACGCGATGCATTGTAGAGCACGGCGTGGCAGGGCGTTGAAGACTCCCTGGCCCTCCAGGCAACCCGGAATTGTCAGCCCCCCGTCTGCCTGCCCTGCCCCCCCGCTATTGCGGGGGCGAGGAGGCCCGAGAAACATTTGTTTAAATCGCCCGCCCCCCATTTTTTAAAAAAATAATAATAATAATAATAATAATAATAATAATATAAAAACACACACACAAAAAATGAAATCCAGCCGCTACCCTCCTCTCGTTTTCCCCTTTTTGGGGCTCCTGGGAGGCACCCGTCGCCACCGCTGCATTCGCCTCGAAGTCCTGGCTCGAACGCACATTGGGGGGAGGTCCGGGCACGTTCGAGTGGTCGCGGGGGGGAGGGAACGGCTGCGCAGAAGTTTCGACTAGACGCACCGAAGAAGAGAACACGCCGTAGACACAAACTTTTGGCGCTCTGCGCGGGTTTCTTGGATCCGCGCTGAGCTCCCCAGTGGCGCCTGCGGCGCCGCCCCTGGCGCGCTCCGCTCCAAGAAATCCGCGCGGAACATCCAACAATTTATGTTTATGCCGCTTTTTCTTCCTCTATAAACGTAAAATGACCTTTCGCCCGAGTGGCCTTTGGTGCGGGCCATATGGGGTTCCCCGATCGCAGGATGCGGGGCGGCGGCGGCGTCTTGCGCGCTTGTGTTTGGCCCCCCACCGCGGCCCCCAAAACGCCGCGCACCAGAAGACTCTTGCCAGGGTCGCTCTTGCGTGTAGCCGAAAGTCAGAAGAGGAAAAGGTTCGGACGGAGCTAGGACGAGGCTAAGTCCGTTCCAGGGCGTTCAGGAACGCTCTCAGATCGTTCCAGAGAGCTCTGAAAAGGCCGCGGCGCCCGAACCATTCTCCAGGGCTGCCGGATCTCTCTCTCTTTTTTCCTCTTTGTCACATATATATATATGTATATATATATACATACATGTATTTTCTTTGTATCTGCACCCGAATTTATCCTCGTCCTGGTTTCGTTTTGAAGGTACCGATGCAGTTTTCTTTCCCTCGTTGTCGCCTTCTGGGCTTCTAAGGAGGCCTGCGTCGCCATCGCTGGATTCGCCTCGGAAATCTGGTCAGACCGCATCCTGGGAAAGGTCCGTGGGGTAGCGGTATCGGTACTTTTGGTTATCCTAGGACGGGCGGCTGTTCGCCAGAGTCACTTCCGGTGCGGGCCCAGTGGGGTTCCCCGATCGCCGAACGAGATGCGACAGGAGCGGTCCGCGCGCATGGATGTGAAGCCCCTCGGGAAGCCGCGCACCGAAGGTCAGCTCTTGGCTGGGGTCGCTCTTGCGTGTATCCGAGGAGGGCGCCATCCGCCTCCTCCTCCGCCTCCTCCTCCTCCTCCTCCTCCTCCTCCCCCTCCTCCCCCTACCCCTCCTCTTGCTCCTCCTCCTCCTCCTCCTCCTCCTTCTCCTCCTCTCTCCCATCCCCCTCCTCCTCCTCCTCCTCCGCCTCCTCCTCCTCCTCCTCCTCCTCCTCCTCCTCTTCCTCCTCCTCTGGCATGGTGGCACAATTCGCCCTCACGGCAGCCCCGTTTAGGCCTCTCCGCGAGCGCGGCCGTTCCTTGCCTCGCCGCCGACGCAAGAGTCCGAGCGGGGTGGAGGTCGGGCGGGGTCAAGGCAGGGACAACATCGCTCCAGATCGTCCCGGGGAGCGCTCTCAAGGCGTTCCAGGACGCCTCTGAGGAGGCCGCGGCGCCCAATCAATCCTCCAGAACCGCTGGATTTCAAAGGTCCCCGATGCGATCGTTCGTACTGTCGAATCTCAATTGCGATTATATGATCGTTTTGCTATGCGGTGCCCTTCCGACTGAAGAGTTGTCTTTGCTTCGAGACAAACAACATCCTGTAAGTTCGAATGTGTTCTACCTGCCCGAGTTTATGTCCTGGCTTCGTCTCAGCGGGGCCCGAGATCGGAAGAGAGGGCACGTTTGGCTGGTTGCGGGGGGTGGTATGACGTTGCACCTTTGGGGGGACCTTGTCTGTCCTCGCAACGCATGATTTCTTATGCTGCCCGACGCGGGCGCGATGCGGATTCGACGCGAAGCTGACGTGGACTCGACGCGAATGCGACGTCTATTCGACGTGATGCGACGATGGCGACATGTATTCATGGATTCGACGCGGACGCCGGCGGGACGTGATATTGAAGGTCCCCCGATGTTGTAACAGAAGAGGCGAGGGGCTTGAGATCAGAGGAGGGCCAGTAGAGACACCGGCGGCCCTCCTTGGCGTTCTCCGTCCCGCTTGGGCCTCGTGGAGGCTTCTTGTCTCTAGGCCTTTTAGGTGGAGTCCGAGCAGATGGCGTCGAAGGACCGCGCCACAGCGCCGATGCATCGGCCATGCGGCTTCATGTGGAGCCCGATTTTCTCGCCGACAAATTCGCCGATGCACCGCCGACGTCGTCGATGCATCGAGATGGATGCATCGGCGATGCATCGGCGATGCGGTGTCCTTCGACCCCGTCTGCTCAGACCCCATCTGGGATTCCTCCATCGTCGCCGTTGCTGCACCCGCCGCGAGAGCGGGCCGGGGGGGGGGCCCCGCGAGGGTTCTGGAGGAGGAGGAGGAGGAGGAGGAGGAGGAGGAGGAGGGGGAGGAGGAGGAGGAGGAGGAGGAGGAGGAGGAGGAGGAGGAGGAGGAGGACGAGGGGGAGGAGGAGGAGGAGGAGGACGAGGGGGAGGAGGAGGAGGAGGAGGACGAGGAGGAGGAGGAGCGGAGTTGGGCGGGACGAGCTGCGAGAGCCGCCGTTGCCTCGGCTGGCCCTCGTCCGAGAGATCCAGGTGCTTGCATGTTTGGTCACGAGTGCATGTCTTCAGGAGGGGAACAAACACGGACACAATGAATCGTCGATCCCCAGGAAACTATGGGAAACTATGGGACGTGGTGGGGGAGACAGGAGCCCAGAAAAGACTTGAAAATATATGGGGGATTCTTGCATTCGTGTATACTCATTTGTGTGCCCTAGGGCCCCTTCACAAGTGCATTTTTGCCCGGTTTTCGGGCCCCCGGACCAACAAGAACCGATCGGGCTCGACGTGCAGCAGTAAAAAGATGGGGCCTGGGGCTCCGCTCGCGACTGCTCGGTTGTGCTGCACCTTTTGTTCCGTGGGCGTGCTGCCGAGCATCGTCGTGAGAAGGCGGGTCGAGTCGAGACAACTGCGGCCATCCCTGGCGCTTTCCGTTTCTTTTGTCCAGGGGCAAAGTTAGGGGGGGGGCGGGGGGATAGGCTCGGCGGGGGAGGCATCGACCCACAATCGCCCATTCATCGACGACGGGGGCCCGATAGCCCAGCCTTGCCCAGGCCCGTGCGGTTTTGCAGTCGGTGGTCTCTGTCGATCTATTGGCGTTGTTGGCAGATGGGCATTATACATTACCAGTGGCGGGCCGCTTTTCCGTCCCAGGACTTTTGAGGGTCGGGGACGACGTCGGGGGGGTGGTGCGGCGTATGTTTTTCCTCTTTGTCTGCCCGGGGAAGCCACGACAAGTGCATACACCAGGATCCCGTATGCACCAGGATCCGCTTTCCTGTGCGAGTTCCAGTGCGGGGCCGAAAAAGCAGCGTCGGTGCACGGAGTGCGGCTCCTTGGATCGGCTCGGCGGGGAAGCCACGGCAAATGCATACACCAGGATCCCGTATGCACCAGGATCCGCTTTCCTGTGCGAGTTCCCGTGCGGGGCCGCAAACACAGCGCCGGTGCACGGAGGGCGGCTCCCTGGATCGGCTCGACCGGGGGGGACGCCCCGAGCCCCCATCGCCGACTCCCCGGCGGCGGGGGCCCGACGGCCCAGCCCTGGCCAGGCCCGTGCGGTTTCGCCAGCGGGTGTCTCTGCCGATCCATCGGCGATGTCTGCGGGAGGAAAGACCACCCGGACCCGACAGCTGGCGTTTACTGAATCGGGGGTGGGCAGACCTCCTACCCTGGCACGTCGATTGAGGAATTGGCCGTTTTCGGTTCGCGAGAGGGCGTCGCAGCCGTCATTTTTGCGGGTCCAGGTTCGTCGCTTTCGGGCCCAGGCCGTTTTCACTGAGGGGAGGTCTACTGAAGGGAGGTTTGTCCACCGCCGACTGAAACCGCCCTGGGCGTTTACGAAACAGCCCTGCCCTGTTCGATTCCGTGCGTGCCTGTGTTTGCCAAACTTCTTCACGTGTCGGGGAGATCGTCATCAGGGTAGGCTT